CAATGGGATACATTAGAACTAGGAATAATTGTGACACTCAGTCATACCTATTCTCAGTCTCTGACTGCGGGCAAAGACTTATCGAAACACAGCAGTTATTCCCTTCCGGACAAACTCTCGCGTAGCACTCAGGTTTTTGTAGAGGCAGCGTTAACCCCAGTTGGTAACTTAGGTCTAAAATTTGCAGAAAGCCAGTGGATTTCCGCTACCTCATCATGACTGGCTGATGGACGAAGAATGACTGCAGTCGTTCGTGACCACAACAAGGCGTTAAAGCACCTGGTGCGTAAAATGACTTAGGTTTGTAAAAATGAATGAAATCACGAAGAGCATACAGTGAACCGCACGAAGAGAAGAAGAAGGAATTCTACAGACAACGGCAATCAGTGATGGAAAAGACTCCACCCCAGTTGGCAACATCAAAATTCTAATGGGTGGGGTGAATGGGTGACATGAATGCCAAACTGGGAGTGGACAACACAGAAAGAGAAGCAATCGTCGGTCGACAGGCACTCGGCTAAATCAATGACAATGGATAAGTGTTTGCAGAATTCTGTGCATTCAACGATTTGGTGATTTAAGGCAGTGTGTGCAAAGACAAGGATATATTGAAAAAGCGACATGTGTATTTGGTTTGATGAGACACCAGACACACCAAAAATCAGATCGACCTCATCTCAATGTGGAGAAGGTGGAGACGCAGCCTACTGGACACAAGATGAGAGAGAACAAGAAGGGGAGCAGATGTAGGTGGTTCACACCACTCACAAATCAGAATATTGAGGAAACCATTTTCTGTAGCGTCAGCAGGTGCTTATGGTCATTCAATGGTTTGCCGAATCATGTCCATTATTTCCGCTTGAACAATGTGACTATGAACAATGGATTACATTAAACAAAACAACACCAAACTCAATCGATCCCTTCGCTTTGTCAACATTTTGTCACATAAATCGTTGTCATTATCAGCATATACACACAAGGAGATCGAAATATGTGCAAACACATTCATGAGTGGTGCGAAAACAATCTGAAGCATTTGCTTGTCCGTGTTTTGATCTTGTCGACTATACGAAACAAATATCGAAATAACAATATTCGCCTACACAGAGGACAATAATTCAGTCATTCTCCACATGAAATCCAATTGGATGGCAAAAGTGCAATGGTATACTAACAGTGTTAGACCGTAGAGTATATAAGGAGGACAATTGTTAGTTAGCGTTACAAGTCCACAGTCGACATCAAAATGCACGTAAGTTGACAACAGATGACTATGTATACAGCCATATGGAGGAATCATTTCAACTCAACCAGTGTTGTGCAGTCATTCCTCGGTTGATTACTCGAATAATGCTGACTGAGTGGTATGAAAAATCAACACAATGTACAATCCATCGACCACCCAATCGGTGGCCGCAACAACCGATCCACCAGGATTTCAAGAACCTACCAGCATCAATTGGTTGAAGCTGCTGAACACGTGGCTGCAAGGGACAACCGTCACCATCATGTAGTGTAGTCGATATCACATCATTAGGCTCATCCACGGGCATTGAAATATGGTGCCTGTGAAAGCCATGAACTGGTTGTTTGCAGTTGTCTCACTTCTCATAAAACAGAAACGAGTCGTTATTTCCTCTGCATTTCTTTTCAGGTTGAATATCTTGTCGTGTGTTTCTTCGTCATAATGAGTGTGGTGTGAGCAAAGACAAAAGACTCTTCTACGGCACACTCACAACTGAAGCAGACCAGGCTGCAGGTAGGAGAGACCTGACAACACAGTAATATAGAAAACGACGAATTAATGATATCCTTCGACGTCGCAGCACTATACACAATCATCGGACCTCAATTGGCCAACGTAACGATGTCCCTCCTGCTCAGTGAAGACAGAAACCTTTCAGATTGCACAAAACCCAAATGTTCAAGTCTGATGGGACTCATCGACATTTGTATGACAACATACTTCTAATTCAACGGCAAGATATACAGAAGGGTGAAAGGAACTCCAGTGGGATCACCGATAATTGGACGCCTCCTTCATCTTTTCAATGCTAAAGCTTGCTCGTTACCGAAGCACACATGGCGAGAAGGAACCAGCAACAGGGAACTCTGGGAACGAACCAACCAAGAAGCTATAGCTGAACAAATATGCAGAAGGAAGTGGAGATGGATTGGGCATACACTGAGAAGGCCGACTTGGGACATCACGTGCTAGCGTTCCAACGTGAAAATGCGTTGACATTCATGGTTGAACTAATGATATACACTCAGGTTTAGTGCCTTACAGTAGTTACCCAGGAAGGAACAGCAACCAAATCCTAAACCATTTCAGCATAATTTGTGTACACAGATTCTGTGGTTGTTCCGTTCACACCTAGCTGAACATTAAATCACAAACCAAGAGGTGAAAGTTGATCATCTGCATATTCTTAGCTGTGTCATCTGGCATGCTGAAAAACTAATGCAACAAACCACAGGTTCATGATATACTGATTGCTTAATAAATATCACTTGTTGCTTTCTATGGTGACTTCTTCGTCAACGTTAATCTTTGTTCACAATCCCTGAGTTAAAAATATATTTATACTTCAAGCGATTCTATTCCGACACACTGCTTTTGAATCACAAGAATTGAACCCATCTACGAGTTTAGTCAGATGCCGACCATAAGTGACACTTAACCATGAATTCGACAAGTTGCATTTCATTATTTTCCTTCAGATCATAAAAGACACTGAACACAAACGCACAGATGGAGCTTAAGAAGTGTGAAGCCCCATCGGAGAAAATTCTCACCAATTTCGAATCACCAGACTGTGCCATGTTGACCTCACTCCTCCTTTCACGCAATCGTGAAATCCGAACCCGAGGTTTTTATTTCCTTTCTCACTGAAAATGACGGAAGTATTTCACAGGCTCACCAATCACCACAACATCATTTTGAATATTATTCATGTAAAACTGATGAATTCCCACACAGTTACACATTCAGTGAAGCATTTCCCCACAAGGTGTCTCATTAGAGGTGTCCTGAGAAATGCAGTTTCTTCGGTAGTCATCCATTTGGTCTAGATCGACTATGAGCTGAAAATAGAGCTATCATTTTCTTCAGAAACGGATTGCTGTTAATTGATTACTGACAAGAATTTTGACGGAAAATTATCACGTCCCTCTTCCCATTTTCATAACACGATTTGAGTTGGTTTAAAAAGAAGTTGATGAAAATGGCTCGTCAATTGTTGAAAAACTATCCACAGCATAAAAAAGCATTTTACTGAGCTGACTTGCCACACCTTTGAAAAGGCAATGATAAAATGATGATTTAACCTGGAAAACTTCCAGGAGTCACGGTCATGAATAATATGGTTATGAAAGTGAATTGTACTTTTTTCTCGATGAATGCAATTAACTGGATGCCACAATATGCGTTTAAGCATATACTAATTTATCACGTGTCTGAGGTTAACCTATTCACCACGTTTAGTTAGCTTGATCACCTAACCGCAAAATACATAGGTGCCTTCGAATGCCTTAGTAAACCACCAGTATGCATTACATATGTGTGAGAAGAAGCAACTGTGATAGAAATGCGAAAGCAGATCATATGGAAAACAGCTGACTCAGAAGCTGTGGTCAGTTACCATCAAGAGCTCAGTGTGTTACATCACTGAAAGACTGCACACACATCTCACTTCAAATCCAGTGTTATCTAATATCCAGAAATATGGCTACAGGAAGCAACCAAGATTGAAAATCAACACTTTAAGCCATCAGCCGTTGAGATAGAAATGTTTTTGTTTCAGGTTTTGATTTATGGTTACATGTTGACAAAATAACCTCATTAGACGATTCCCTATGTGATGTAACCAATTAGATTGCGTTACCCTATATTTGGCCTAGGACGTATATAGTTTAACAAATAAAGTGATATTTGCAGTCATAGGCAAGCCTTCGTCTTTTGATATTTGCATGAATCAGTGGAGAAAAAGATGCTGATGGAGGAATAGCCAGGTTGGTATTTGCTTCTAGTGTGTCGCTGAATTTAATATCGTTATTACTCACGCCTTATCCCATTCGGCTACTTCATACAAGTGACAGATAGCTTTGAATTCGAACCAACTCTGCATTCAAACACCCGAAAATGTCTTTCTTTGCATCAAATACCAGTGCTTTCTTGAATGCAGGAGAATCAGTTCCCAATTCGCTACTCAGAAATGCTTGCATGCATGCACGTTTCTCTTTCCATATGTACACCGTGTGAGCAGAAACTACTGCTCTAAGAATAATCCTAATCGATAATGTTTAAACACCTCATTTCGTCGATACTCGCATCAAGTCCTACAGCTACACACGAAAGGATACCATACAAAAACCTTGAATGCACTAGGAATCCAGTTGCTGACATTCCAAAGAGGAGGATTTCAAGTTCCCTTAGATGAACAATTGATGCAACAAAGTTAGGATTCAGTCACTCTTCTACGAAAATTTCATCAATTTGAATTCGACTCAAAAAACCTCCACGTGTGATAAACTCGCCTTCTCTTTTGACGCTGAGTGTATCGATAGGTGAACAGCAGTGCTATCTGATAAGATTTGGAAATGATATCTTCAGTGCTCACGCCTAGATGATAGGAGATCCATAAGCAGCGCGGTAATTGAAAATCTCAACAACACTGACCACATAGTATCAACACGTGACGTCCTGCATGGTTAAAGTGATTGTCGAAGAGGAAATGTGTTTGTCTCGATTGCTTGGCGAAAACTATGGCTACATGCATAAGAAACCAACAGCTTTGTATAGAAAAGAGACCCAATGTAACCCTTCTGCTTTCACCGTCTTAGCCCTCACCCATCCAAAACGCACTCCGTCGTTCCATTCTGCCTTCCGTTCTACTCACAGATCACGCAAAATCATCACTCAGTTGTTTACACACAGTTTGCAAGACAACTCACTCAATAATCATTTCGCAATCATACACAATTTATTGTCATTCCACCAGCTATTATTTCACATGAAAAATTCCTGTCACATTCTGTTCGTATTCGAACAGCGGTGAAGGAGGTAAGAACAAAAGGCTGTGGACAGAAATTTATACAAGCGTATTTATGTGAATGACCTGGCATAAAGATAACAATGCTCACTGGGCGTTGAGTGCATCTTACTCGTCAGGTGATAAAGAAGACTAAAAGTGACAATGTAAGTGGCGGCACTATAAGAATGAAGGAAGAGAAAGACTGTTGCTACTAAAAGTCATTTCCAGTTGGAGTTTTCCGTTTACGAAGATTTTCGAGGACATAATTATCAATTTTTGATGACAACACTGTCATAACCTTGGCTTTTGCATCTTTGAACTCAGGTGATGCCTTGATTTTGGCCAATTCAGCGTCGTCTTGTCCACCCGAAAACGAATCGATGATCGAGTTTTGCAAATACAATCAGAAAATAAACAAATGTGTCAGTAAAACTTGTCTTCTCAAGAATAAGCAGTGGACATCAACGTGACTACAAGAATCTATTACAAAGAAGACTGTTTGCAACAAACAAATATTGTGGTCACCTCACCGACTTCATCAGTGTTCAACGTGTGTTTGAACCTTTGTGAGAGCCAACTATTTTCACTTCGCTGACCACTATCGAGTCCTGCCACTGAATAACACTAGATGTCTCTTCCATATGCACCCAACGAATGAGAGGGTGTTCATCACCAATCTAAATCAATTCCATCTTAAAATTTAGTGACATCCACATACAATGTAATGAGGGAAAATACACATGGATGATTACTAGTCAGTCCCATTTCGTACCTCTTTAAATCTCCAACGATAATTGGACTAGACGAAAATTGAAGACAAGTGGACTTCGATCCACACGTCAGAGCGGTAGAATGTTTGTTTGCGTGTATGTGTGTGAGTGTGTGTGTGTGTGTGTGTGTGTGTGTGTGTACGCGTTCAAGCCTACACACAGCAGCTCGCATTAATCATTTCAATCAGGTCAGAAGAGCGAGCACTGACAATGCGGAAAGTTCATAAGGTGACTGACAAAGTGCAACCAACTACGACACAACATCGTCAGTGCATTCAACATCCTCACCAACATCAGAAATATTCTACTAACTGTCCACTCTGGAATATGAGACACGAAAATCATAATCCTACATACGACCGTTAAATTACATGGCCAATGAAGTGCAAAAACACAATGTGACATCAACCTACATCCCACTGTGAGCGCACTACAACATGAATATTTACTTACTTGGAGTCTTTTTTGAGCACGCCACACTCATTATGACGAAGAAACACACGACAAGATATTCAACCTGAAAAGAAATGCAGAGGAAATAACGACTCGTTTCTGTTTTATGAGAAGTGAGACAACTGCAAACAACCAGTTCATGGCTTTCACAGGCACCATATTTCAATGCCCGTGGATGAGCCTAATGATGTGATATCGACTACACTACATGATGGTGACGGTTGTCCCTTGCAGCCACGTGTTCAGCAGCTTCAACCAATTGATGCTGGTAGGTTCTTGAAATCCTGGTGGATCGGTTGTTGCGGCCACCGATTGGGTGGTCGATGGATTGTACATTGTGTTGATTTTTCGTACCGCTAAGTCAGCATTATTCTAGTAATCAACCGAGGAATGACTGCACAACACTGGTTGAGTTGAAATGATTCCTCCATATGGCTGTATACATAGTCATCTGTTGTCAACTTACGTGCATTTTGATGTCGACTGTGGACTTGTAACGCTAACTAACAATTGTCCTCCTTATATACTCTACGGTCTAACACTGTTAGTATACCATTGCACTTTTGCCATCCAATTGGATTTCATGTGGAGAATGACTGAATTATTGTCCTCTGTGTAGGCGAATATTGTTATTTCGATATTTGTTTCGTATAGTCGACAAGATCAAAACACGGACAAGCAAATGCTTCAGATTGTTTTCGCACCACTCATGAATGTGTTTGCACATATTTCGATCTCCTTGTGTGTATATGCTGATAATGACAACGATTTATGTGACAAAATGTTGACAAAGCGAAGGGATCGATTGAGTTTGGTGTTGTTTTGTTTAATGTAATCCATTGTTCATAGTCACATTGTTCAAGCGGAAATAATGGACATGATTCGGCAAACCATTGAATGACCATAAGCACCTGCTGACGCTACAGAAAATGGTTTCCTCAATATTCTGATTTGTGAGTGGTGTGAACCACCTACATCTGCTCCCCTTCTTGTTCTCTCTCATCTTGTGTCCAGTAGGCTGCGTCTCCACCTTCTCCACATTGAGATGAGGTCGATCTGATTTTTGGTGTGTCTGGTGTCTCATCAAACCAAATACACATGTCGCTTTTTCAATATATCCTTGTCTTTGCACACACTGCCTTAAATCACCAAATCGTTGAATGCACAGAATTCTGCAAACACTTATCCATTGTCATTGATTTCGCCGAGTGCCTGTCGACCGACGATTGCTACTCTTTCTGTGTTGTCCACTCCCAGTTTGGCATTCATGTCACCCATTCACCCCACCCATTAGAATTTTGATGTTGCCAACTGGGGTGGAGTCTTTTCCATCACTGATTGCCGTTGTCTGTAGAATTCCTTCTTCTTCTCTTCATCTGCATCATTTGTAGGTGCGTAGTTTAGCATTCTATGATTGTCACTCTCCTTCCTTTTCAGTTGAATGTGGCTGTCATAATCTTGCAGGTGGAGATTGGTTCCCACTGCATGAGAGCCTTCGATGCTGTTGGCGGCATCATGATAGCCTCTCCATAACTCAGTGTGCTGGTGGTTGTCGTCTGGGTGGCAATATCGTAGTAGATTATTGATTCTCCGGTTGACAGTTGTGAGTGTCCATTTCCACTCCATCTGCTTTTGCAAATTCCTAGCACTTCAATGCGACATCTTCTCATCTCGTTTGCAATCTGGACAGCCTTGCTGGGTTCAAACATGGTGTGGACATTCCATGTCCCCACGTTTACTTTCGCTTTCATCGGGAGACGAGAAGACACATCGGGTAATTGGCTTCCGGAAGCCAGGCTTTCACCTGACGGCGTCGTTTCGTCTCTCCGATTCAGAGAGGAATAATTTTGTTTTAATATTTTATATATTGTTTGTGCTTTGAAGTTTCTTTAGCGCTTTGATTGGATTTACGCGGTATGGTTGCTAGCCCTATGCCCAAGCTTCCCTCTTTTTAACCCGAGCTTACGACCGGCTAGTAACCATTTAGCTAGTTAAACAGACGAGGTTGCTTTCAAGATATAGAACAATTATTTCATTTCGGAAGATTCTCTGCAAAAGATTTTATTTCAATTGTTGTCATCGAATTGATACTTTATTTGTTCACCTATTAACTTACTATGAATTTTCAAGTCCTATTTTTCTATACATTTCATTTTGCCTGTCAATCCATGGAGCTTGAACAAGGTTTTGGAACTGATAATTCTCTTGCTTGATATGTTTCAGATGAGACTGAGCAATGCATCGCTGGGAAGATTTATCGAAGTAAACCCATGATGTGTGAAAGTCTCAATTTGCTATTGGAAGTTACATGAAAGTGAAAATGGATTAGTTTTGCGTGACAGCAGATCCCATTCGGTATCCGCTATTTGCAAGGCCAACTTTTATAATGCTTCCTTATGACATACATGGCAGTGTCAGCATGATACTGCCTTTCATCCCTCTCACACTTCTTTTGACAAACCCTATCCAACCAGAAGCATGACTTCCCCGTCCAAGTCTTAACATAGACACGCCTATTCAATTAAAGACATCGAGAGCTTTTGTCTTGCCACCACTTAATAGATCTTTGTGGTGTGCTGGGATTACAAGAAAATAAGTGTTGTAGCAGGTAAGGCTCGTTGGGTGATTTGAATATCCGAGAATGACTACTTTGTCAAGGTAGTTGCTTAAGGCCTGTGGAATGAATTCACGAATGCGACAAAATGAGCCGTCAATGGAGCACAGAGGGTAATTAATGCGTCAACAAACGAATCAAGCTCGACTGTAGTGGAATTTCTCAGGAAAGGACTGAACTTCGTTCGATATAGTAATCACTCAACTCAGACCTGAAATTGCCTAAGCAAGCGTGATAGTGGAATTAATCTCAATGGATAAGACAACTACTGATCTAGTCCATGTACGCTTTGCAACCATAATAAGTGACCAAAAGGAACTGAGGCGAAACTGAATGAAACCGAAACTATTTTCATGGAGAACTTCAATAATTGAGAAAGGCATACTTATTAATCAATCTGAAGAAGGCAACTCACTACTGTCTGTAGAAAAGTCAGATTACTCAACAGGAAGTCATCAAGGCTATCAGGAAATGACTGACTATGTGAGGAAATTCAGAGGCCTATTGACACATTCATGAGAGAGATTAGTAAGTCGGTAATTGATGTAATGCGATAAATGAAAGCATCTGTAGGTGATTTCCAGTGTTTGAAACTGATGCTTAAAACTGATAGTCCTAGTTGAACATATAGTAGCAGTAACATCCATCCATCCATCCATCCATCCATCCATCCATCCATCCATCCATCCATACATACATACATACATACATACATACATACATACATACATACATACATACATACATACATACATACATACATACATACATACATACATACATTCCGTATGATGCCAATAATTGACTTCACAAACATTTCAACATATGAGTTATCTTAATATTCAATTTCAAGATTACATTGTATTAGAATAGCTCAAACTCTAAGCTAGCCAACTCCTATGACTTGAAATATAGACTTGGTCATGTAAATTAAAGGAGAGAAATAAACGTCACTTTTCATGTAACGAGCCTGCATACAAATATACTAAATAATATGGCCCTTGAGGCGGTAAGAAATGAACTCAACACTAACCATGAACTCAATAACGGGGCTTGAGTTTCTATTGAAGTAATCAGGTCCGGATAATAGGCATATCTGACTTCCGCAGACTTCGAATTTCAAGACAAAGTATATCAACAAGACGAAAAAGGAGCAATGGAATTTCGAATGTCCCCAATTGTAGCAAAGATATTTATGAACAGTTGGGAACAAATAGTAGTAGGAGTATTCCAACCTGAGGGAAAATGTGGCGGCGATATGTAGATGACTCATTTACAATTTTCAAAAGGGAACAATCACAAACACAAACTCGATAGCCGATATGATCCAGTAAATCTGTGAATGAGGAAATGAAGAGGGAGACTTATGAATCCTGAAATGCTAAAATCAGCAGAAGATAAGATGGCAGTTTTGACACCAGTGTTTCTAGAAAACCAACGTAACTGACTACATACTTGAACTCCTCATCGTCTCACCCTTGGTGAAATGCTTCAGTAATTGTATTAGGCGCACGATTAGTAGATCGGGAAGTATACACAGGGAACCAAACAAATCAGCAATATTTATGATACATGCAACATGCCTATCAGGGGATTGAAACGCACCAACTCATCCGCTCAGAAGAAAACTTTGTAGGCTAAGACATCCTATCGATCAAATTAAACAAAGTAACCTATTTTATCAATTGCCATGTGATGACTGTGAAGTGATGTGTATGGGTTAAAGTGAACGTTCAGAGTCAGTCAGAATAGCAGAGGAGAAACCTTCAACGAAATATGCGATTAGACCCTACTGAGATTAGAGATTTCAAGGAAATCTCGGCTGCTCAGTGATGCTGCCTTTGAAGTGAAGAGAGGAAGGAGTAAGACAAGGTTGCCGACCACTATCACCGATCATCTTCCTGATTCTCGTCAACTGGATCATGCAGCAAACCATGAGGAGCTGTGAGAAGATGGGCATACGCTGGCTGCAGGGATGAAAAGACCCAAGGAGAAGATTTGGATGTCGCCAACAATGATGATTTATGTCTGCTATCCACTATCGCACGAAGTCGAAGATCTGCAGCGAAAACCAACAAGTTGACAGAAGAGGCAGGGCAGCGAGGACGACACTTCAAGTGAACGTGGAGAAGACAGAGATGATGAAGATACCCAAACAACAACAGCATGAACAACAAGTAGCAGTCACCATAAACAGGAGAGACCTAAAGGAAGTAGTCTCCTCCCCACCTACCTACCTACCTAGCTGCCTACCTACCTACCTACCTACCTACCTACCTACCTACCTACCTACCTACCTACCTAGGCAAGGCAGCATCGTGTCAACTACAGACTACGGCACAGATGGAGACGTCAAAGACAGCGAGACAGGCCTTCATTAACCTGAATTCAGTATGCAGATCTACTGCACTGCATTGCACTACACTGCACTGCACTGCTCGGCACTGCACTGCACTGCATTGCACTCAGCATAAATCGTGGACGAGTTCACGATTTCCAACACTAAGTGAGTCACGTCAGTGCTTCAATGGGATGGTTCAGAAACTTGGCGCTTTACGCAAAGCATCTCCAACAAACTACAGACATGCATCAACAGCTGCCGCCTACGCTCACTTGATACTGAAGATCAGATGGACGGAATAATGAGTGAGAATAAGAAATAAGGAACTCTGGCTTGACGACGAACCAACTAAGAACAAATCACCCAACAGATATGCAGCAGGAAGTGGAGATGGATTGGATTGGAGATACACTGAGGTGACTATTTGGGGAGATCACACTCCAGGCCAGGCCAGGCCAGGCCAGGCCATGCCAGGCCGTCGAGTCGAATCCAAATGGGAGACGACGAGTTGGGCGTCCGAGGCGAGGGT